GTCGATTGACTCTTTCTTCTCTCGTCTGCAGAAACCACGTCCTTCGATTTCCTTTGGAAGATGGAAACGATCCTCCTCGATAGTTGTTTGCTCTTGGTGAATATCGTGGATTCCTTCGTGGTAGAGAAAGAATCTTCCAAGTCGAGGTTCACGGATACCTCGAAATCGGAAACCGACCAGAGGGAAGTCGTCGATTGCTCTTTTCGTTTCCTCGAGAAAGAGCTCCGATTGTTACACTTGCCGAAACGAATCTTCTTCGACGACGACGACTTCATCCAGCGGAACATGGCGAAAATCCGTGGGTAAGTGTTTACGGTGAAAGGACGAAATACGCAGGTAAGTAGCGCCCGAACGATAGACTAATTAATTCTGATGGGTTCGTTAAAGCGGTGGCCTTACTTAAAGGAAAGGAAGAAAAGTGGGAGGTAGACGTTAAAGGACTATTCACAGTTTGCCTCACCTTCCCCCCTTTTCCTTCTTTACTCAATTCTTCGATACCGTGCAAACAGAAATCTTTCTCGTTTCATTATTTAAAAAATCTCCTACTTTTCTGAACTTCGTACCGGATAAAACGATCGAATAAAAAAATATTGTTACCATTTACGTGCATCTAAGGTTGATTCGTAGTCGCCGAAGAAACTCAGAGACGAAAGCAAGAAGGGTTGTTTATCTCGGGAGGATTTTTCCATCGATCATGCGAGGAACGATCGTTAAGATAAAAGCGGTCTAATGACCTCGCGGTGGACTCTTTTCAGTTGTCAGGGAATCGATGCGTTCGGCGCCCGGACGACCGGCTTCATCCCCTTCCTTTATTTTCATTCTCTTCCACCCACTCGATTGGCAAGTAGGTCAAAGATCAGCGCGAACTTGCGAACATTAGCGGGTAAACTCGACGGTGACCTCGACTTCTGGAGATGCTAGCTATTCCTGAATCTTCAATATGCATCTCCCGATAAAACGATTCGTGTTTTAACGAAGCGAATCGGCGATAATTGTCGCTGACAGCACTTACAGCTCGATCCTCCATAAATTTCGCGGCTGTCTGTAATTATCGAAGATCGTCGACCAATTAAATACATCGGAGGAGCGTTGGAAGGTTAGTCGGAGGTGTTTTTTTTTTGTTGTCGGATGGAAACCAGACCAGAAACTTTGGTACAAAAGCTTGCCGGATAGTACGAAGCGGACACAAAGCTAGCCACCCCTTTTTCAACAATAGAAAACTAGCCGTATGGTAATAAACGTAGCACTCGCAGCGTTATTCGGTGTACGTGTTCTTGTCCAGATGCGTTTCGACCGAGGGATTAAACCGTGTCCTGCAATTTTATTGTTCTATTGTGCCCACCGAAACGGTTCGTGTATAATTAATTTCGGTCTCCCGCTAAATCGGTATGTACTCCGGTAATTATAAGTAAGCACCATTGGAGCCTATTTGCACCGAAAGCTATTACGGTTCTATCCTTGGTATTTCTGGTAATCTAAGAGCGAGTGTTCGCGCGGACAGCTTAATCGTTGCAATAAAAACGCTCGATTGTGCGCATGAATAAATACTCGGATAAATTTCACCGGACGGTATATTTGTTATATAAATATGCATTAAAGCATAAACATGTGTAAACAGGGGTGGGGAAAGTTAAATAAACGATAAATTTATATTATTTCATTTGTCGTTTACGAGAGAGAAATATTCCACCTGTGTATATATATGTATATGTTTGGATGAAATAAACGCCCCTTTTACGGCCAATAAGCATTTTCGCGATCGCGACACCTTGATTAAACGTCTCCTGCGTCACGCGTTCGGCGGACAATAAGACCTATACATTTCCACGGCTCGTTAGATACTCGCAATTCATTTTACGCGAGATAGCTCGATCGAAACTTCACGTTCACTCCTCGAAATAACGTTACCATTTTTATCTCGTTAACGTCTGGAACGTACGACGATGCAGTCCTTGTCACAAACCGCTACTGATCGCGGGACGAAGGAAACATCGGTCGATTGAACAATTGAAATAATCGAAAACGGTATTGTCATTTATCGTAGAATTGTAGGCGTTACGTAAATTGTACTCTGAAGTAGATTCGACAAATTCGTCGAAGGAGAAGGAGTTAAGCGATAGTTCGTAACAGTTTCTGATACTGATTGCCGTGTAACTGGCTCTGATTGATACAGACAATCACGATCTAAGTTGATTGTGCTCTAGTTACGTCGTCGTGTCTCACTACCTGCATTTGTTTGTAGTTAAATTTCTGACGTAAATCGATTCAACGAATAAACGTTGAAATTCAGAAGAAACTTATAATTCAAAAGAAATTTATACGATCTTCGGCGAAGAAAATCATTATGCTGAAAGAACTGTTTATTTCAATTGCTTCTTCCCTTACTTTACGGTTATTCGAGAGGTAGAAGTTATTGGTGGAGCTTATACCGATTGTTAGCGTTTGAAATCGAAAAATTCATTCCCTAGTTATAATGAGGGAATGCAAAGGGCAATTTAGAGGAATCTCGCGCGTCAGGTATGTGCGCTATAGAATAACATTCTAGCGACAATGGAACTAGCCTTTGCCGCTTACAGCCGAGGGTACGGTAATAAACGCAGATTAGCGGAAGGTGGCGAGCCTTTTACCCTGACCCGGCTAGCATAATTACCTTAATCGGAAGGCACGGATTGAAGGTTCTCGATTAAAATTATCTTTGACGCGTTTCACGTGAAAATTTCTCCGAAGCGTGAAGCGTATCTTGTCAATTTGGTCTGGATTTTGTGACGTTTCTTCGAATCGTGAAAATCACGTCGCGTTAATCCTTGTCGAGGGACAGTCAGAGACATCGCGAAAGGTAGAAACAAAGAGGACCGTTATTTCATCTATTGTTAGCTAGAGGTAACCAGACAGGAGAAGGGAAATACCGTAATCTTCCTCGTGACCGGCAAGCCGATCCTTTCTTCTCCTTTTTTCCCCGTTGATACTTAATCCACCGCCAAATTCCATTTCTCGATTCGAACTTGTCCGTACGAAACAGTCTCTGTGCGGTAAAAACGGACAGATTTTTCTGTCGATTCGATATCTCTTAAACGGCACAACCTTCGATACTTGAGTTTCTTTTAAAAATCAAACCGAGATATCAGATTCCTTCTCTGTTCGAACAGCGTAAAACAATATTTCTCTTAAAACTGAAGTAATTTTAGTAAATTGGTAAAGTACTAGTAGGTATACTTTATTACAGACAGTTCTCGATAAGAAATTCCCTTGTTGCAACAAGTGTCACGTTACAAATATTACTTTACATACCATTAATCGTCGTTTTATTCATCTACACATTAAGTAATCCACGTAATTATTCAGAGATTATAACGAGTGCAGCGAATCTCTCTCACCGTGTCCCCGTATTCAGAACACGTCCGTGAAATTCTGGCTTCGCCCTCCTTGTTTACGGTTGCGGCGAGCCACGCGTTGACTCGTATCACTCATCCTGGCTACGTTCCACCAAACGCAGTTAACGTTCGAAAATTTGATTAATTTTAAGAAAGGTAATCACACGTGGAAGTGAACGTCGTGCTTTAATTCAGCCAGGTATCCGGCGGCGGTGGTGGTGGTTTTCGAGCGTTCAAAGGACAAGCCAGGAAATTGCTTCTAATTGCGGTCGTTTCACGTTCCTGCCCGTAATTTCCTGGCCACCCGTCCTTCCTCTGGATATCTCTATCAGGTGTAATTTTTAATAACCAACGAACTAACGTTTTTCCACGGAATTTCCTCGCTGGAAATTCTTCTTGGTACGCTTTGTTCTCCGATAGAGCGGTGTATCGAGTATCGATACGCGTATAGAGAATCCGCTAACCGTCGATCGGTTTCGAACGGGTAGGTAGGATATAGATGGATCAGTGTTTCCTGGCGGGAACAATACACCGTCCCGCTGGACGGTCCCAGAAAGCGGATAAATATTGTTTTATTGCTCATTGTTGGAATGGAAGCGGCAGGTAAAGTTGTAAGTGAAAAGGGTGCTGGTTTTGCAGAAACGAAGAGGGGTGAATCTACGAATGGTAAAACTTGCATTCGAGAGCATCTCGCAATGGATTTGCATGATCTTTTTGTATTAAATGGAGAATCGATATATCGAAGAACGTTAACCGCGTAAGAAATTGCGGTTCGTGCGAAAACAGACTTCTGTTTTCCTCGGTTAAAGATTTGATTCATCCAACAAGATTACATTTTTACTACTTTGTCCTATTTTTCTCCTTCCGTTTTTCAGTGGTTTTTGCTGCAGCGTATACGTATGTATTAATCTTATTTCCATTCATTGTCGGATTCGTTTGTTTTCTCGTTCGACGCAGCAACGGATTTTTCGTAAACGAAATTGTTGATGCAACTCGCTTCGCGTACGCGCTATTCCTCTGCATGTTTTCGCGCGTGTTTCAATGCGATTTCCGTGGAAATTGCCTGGTATAAAAATGAAGGGGGAAAAATGAAAGAGGATGCGTGTTGCACGAGAAATAATTCGAAAAATATCTGTTACGAGACCGATGGAAAGTCGTTCTTTAATTATTTCAAAAGAAGGTGAAAATTAATTAAAAATGAATTTTCGCACACTCGCGACGTGGCTCAGCCTGGACTTGGCGTAATTACCTGCCCCCTCTCTTCTACCGAGAAAAGTCGCCGAGCGAAAGGGGAGGCTCGCGTACTTTCGATGTTTGGACAGGTACAAAAAGGCCGCCCTGCGCTCAAAGCCCTTTCATTTATTAGTGAAATTTCAAGTGGTCGACATCGCGCGTTACCTCTGAAACTTTACTTCAGCGGGTAGAAGTGGGTAGAATTTTACACTTTTGCGCGTGAAAGATATGCTACGTGGCGTAGTAAAATGTGAATTGCATACCACCTAGTTCAAGCTCCGAACTGAATCCGTTCTGTGATATTTAATCCCGGCCGGTAGTGGTAATTCGAGAACAGCGTAAAACCCTTTCGTAGTCGGTCGTAAATAACGCGTTAGTTTCTCGAGAATAAGCACGATGAAGGTGAACATGTTTCTGCAGCGTATGTTGAAAAGAAACAGCGACGAAGAGGTTCGTTTTTATCCTATTACCTCTTTCAAAACTTCCTAACGATCGTATACTTAACGAAACAACGAGGAAACTAGGTTTAACGTGGCTACTAATTTGCATTTTTCCATTACACAGCTGAACGTAGAGCCAAGGTGCGGGAAGGAGGAACAAAAGAGGAACGAGGCAGTAAGGTCAGGGGTTTCGAAGGGAAATTGGATCAGGAAGCTGGGGAATTATTCACCGAGCAAGTACCAAGTTCCAGCGAGTCCCGTGAGGATGAAAGCTCTGGACAGAAGTGGCCTCTGCAACACCTACGAGGCTTCCACTCCTACGAGAACTTCCAGAACCCCCCTCGAGATGCCCGACTTGGAGAGCATTATTCGCGAATTCGAGATGGGTTTTCTCTCACCCTCGAAACAAGACGTTGCCGCTGACGGTTCCAAGCAGAAGAACTTCGTTAAGAAGATTGTCGCAGCTTTCGAGGTGAAGTACAAGGGCTATAACGATATGAAGACTGCGTATGAAGCCAGAGAGAGCGCAGAGGAGAGTAAATTAGACATCGCCATTGGGGAGACCTCGAAAAGAAGATCCGGGATTTTCACTCCTTTCAAAAGCTCCTCCGACGAAGGCAGGCCGTGTGGAAAACTGGATGATTCCCCGATGTCGAAAGGAAATCGAGAAGATGTAAGTGAAATATCTGAAAATTCTACACCTTCGAACAATCGTTCCGGAAGCTCGAAGAGGAGACCGCGAATTTTTGGCTCGCCTTTCAAAATCTCCTCCGACGAAGACGGAGACAACTTTGATGATTCTTCGCAACCGAACGAAGAGGAAACAAAAAATGCAAACAGGAAGACGGAGATTTTCGTTACTCCGTCGAAGGACAAGACTTTCAACTTGAAGAGCGCCGGTAAATCGGGAATATTCTTATCTCCCTTTAATCGTAGCAATTGCAAGAATACAAGCAGGAGTTCGTCGGAGATCTATACAAGTCCCGTGAACATCGAACGTCGAGACTCGAAGGATTCCAGTTCAGACTGCTCCAGCCTTTTCAAGTTCGGCAAAGAAGAATCCTCTCGAAGATCGAACTTTCATTTCGATCTGTTGAAGGTGTCGTCCCACGACGATACGAAGACCATGGATGATATCGGTCTCGACGTGACTTTACCAGAACCGGAAGAAACGATTCTGTTGGATGAAAACACGCTTCCGAAGACGAGCACGATGATTAACGAGTTCGCGAACGAAGGAGATGATTCAGTGGTGACAGTTTCAAGTGTAGACAAGACTCCAAAAATAGTGGGGGCGTTTCTAAAGAAACCAATCGAAGTGGAGGACACTTCGATCGACTGGATACCTATCACCGGGAAGAAGTTACCGCGAAAGAGATCGCTGAAGAAGCTGTTGTACTCGTTGGCCGGCAAGAAGTTCGAGAAGAAGAGTAAGCTGTTCTCCTCGGAGAGAAACTTGAACGAGGAGTCGCGAGAGTTTCAGGATTCCGGCTACGACGAGAGGTCTTGCTCTTCGTCTTCTTTAACTTCTCTCATTTCCATTACGGAGGTCCTACTTCAACAGGAAAACACTTACGTCGAGCCAGAGAGGAGGAGAACTACCCTAAGCACCTTCAGATCGAGGAACTCCTTGGACGAAGAGGAAGACGAAGCGTTCTGCGATGCTTATCGCTGTACAGGGTAAATTGACATTGTTATATCGCCGATTGTTGCGTGAAATTTTTCCAAATATCACAAAGTAACACGTGTCCGTTGAATTTACAGGAAATTTAGCAGAAGGAAGCTACTCCTAACCGAAGTACCTCGGAAAGATGTGAAACTAGATCTCGGGCCGTCTTATCCACCGTCTTATAAGATGGTAACGATGTCTTTGGACCGCAAGACGGTGCCCAGGAAGACTTGTAGCTCGCCTCCTCCGGTAGGTGTTCCTTTAAGGAAAATACCCAAACATCCGTTCCTCTCCAAGATCCCGAAACATCCGTTCGTCGCGCTAACGAAGATGGACGAGCCCCAGGAATTTCAGAACGCTCAGGTGTGTCGCACCAGCCAGGAACCGCTGGTGATCATTAAGAACGACTTGTACGAAGTGGAGTTTCGTAGAAGCTGCGACGACATTTGCTCCTCCAACTCTTGTCGCAGCTCCTCGTCGGCGGCGAGTCAGTACGATGTACCGAGGAGGTTCTTGTCGAAATCTGAGCCTGAAATCTCGTCGATCTGCCAGTCACAACCAATCAGACGAGAAAAGACGTCGGAATACGACGTTCCAAATTCCCAACCTATCGAGAGACCTAGATCCAGCGTTTTCGAGGATGCACTTTCGTTGAAGAGGAGGAGCGTCAATTTAGGAGATCCGACTACTTCCAACTACGCGGTTCCACGTGATTTAGGGTCTCCGTATGCCACAATTAAACCGAGGAATACCAGGATTTATCTGAATAACGAGACGCTGCGTTCCTTCAACGACTTGACTTCCATGGAGAAGAGTTCTGCGCTTTAAAACGCTCGAGTATTTGCTGTTTATTGTACTTCAATGGTCCTTCAGGAGGTAAGATTCCACATTTTTTTTAAGTGAAACTGGACCATAGATTGAAAGGTATAGTATAGTTGTACGATACACGTATACTTGCTATATTCAGCTGAGTGTATTCACTTTCCGAGACTTTCGATATGAATTATTTCCAGATTGTATTGTTTTCTTTTTACGTATCAACTGGAAGTAATTTATATCCGGAATCGACAGTACAAATTTTGTTTTACCGATTGATAGTACAAACGCTTAAAATTATTTTAAAGCTTGATTGTGGTGTTAAGACTCTTGTGTAGAATGAACAAACGCTTTGTTAATTAGGTATCGGTAGGATTAAGTAGGCAGTATTTTTTACAATTGTACGCGAATAGAAGTATTTTAATGACCTGTACGCACTGAATAGGAAAACGCGCGTTCTGATTCCTCGCCGGAGTCTCGTATATTTCGCGAGAAATATTTCACGAGATCTTATTTCACGAGAATTTTATTTACCAATGTTTCTTCAGAGACGGTTGCTTGCACGAATTTTTCTTTTCGATATCGGAATTTTTCAAGGATCGTCTCTCTTTCGGGGACGAAAGAAAGCTTCGATGTGATACTTGGATTATATATTATAGTTTTTAATTAGAAGTTGTCGAGTGAGTTACAAGAATGAGGAAGTCAGAAAAGAAAAGGAGTCTTATCGTTTTTAACGAAAACGCTTTTATAACGACTCGATTTTGTTTTCGCGCGATATTTTAGATACACATATGTAAGAACACTAGTCTCGTTCGTTTTCGACAGAAAATGATTAACGAGGACGCGAACGTGTAACAGTGTAATAAGAGAAAAGAGAATATCTATACGTAGTCTCGTGTAACGTATCTGTGCCATACATCTAATTATAAGTAGGAGCTAACTAGATATACGCAAATATAATTATTTCAACGAATTGTACAGAACTGCTTAACGTACAAATTCCGCAGTGTATCTAGACACGTTTATCTTGTACGTTTTTGTTTTTCTTTTTAATAAAAATCCTCGCAATGCTGTAAGTCACGAGTCTCTTCCGTATACACCTGTACATTAGTAGATATTTAGATACGTGCAATACCTTGAACAATCCGACCTCGCAATCATCCACGAATAAAACTAGAAAGAATCCTAAGGTAATAGCAGAAAATTTCCTCTAACCAGATACACCTACATATCGAACGTACAAAATACAGAGCAATTCGGCAACGTTCGACTAGTTAGCGGTGAGTAATACGCACCGATATCGATGTCGAAGCAATTCCAATCACGGGAACAAGTTGTTCCGCTAAATTGCTAATAGTAAAGGCATATTTACGCACTCGCGGAGAAATCGACTAGCCGTATCTCGAGTTGAACAATTTCAGATTACACGGCCCATAATCGAGGGTTTGGGATTCGATGTCTGGATAATTGGGAGCCGAAATAACTGGCATCCGCGTTCTCCCGTATCAATCAGAAGCCCCGCCGGAACTCGTTCGATATCTGTTCCTCGTTCAATTATTCGAAAATATCGTAGAAGGTAATTGGTTTCGAGAGTATTGGTATCACGAAGAGGGAATCTATCCACGTCTCTATATCTCTATAGGAGGCGAAGGTTCGTCCTTATTCTCGTTATTGGTCGGAGAAGGAAAGGTAGGAAGGAAGATCGCGATGACGTTATGAAAGTAAATGTCCCGGAGCTCACGGGGCCATAATGGGAAAATCTTGGCCACGGTTGGGAGGTAGAGTGACGTAGAAGCTCGTATGCACCGGACAACGGTATGACGTGGATGGTGAGCGTGGGTTGTGATGGGTGGCCATTAGCTCACACGGTGTGTGCACCGGCACCGCAACGGAATGCACACGTAGGTTGTTGGGTGAGTGGTTCGTGTCAAGGGCGAAGGATTTTCGGGGCCACTGCTACTTTACGATTTTCATGACAACTGAGGGAACAACGTCGCGGAAAACCACGCCGGATTTTCCAACTTTTAAACGTGTGGACGAGACGCAAAAGTATGCGTGATATTTGGATGGAAGGAAGATGTATTGTAGAGAGAAAAGGTGTAGAAAATTTTTGCAGGCTAACTTTGATGCGTAACAATTCCAGCTCGGACTTGGGACATGAGCGAGTTACGGCGGTTCTCGAGTAACGATAGATGCGTGGTGTACACGCGTAGACAGAGATTTATAAGCTTGCACTGTGAGCAATAGTAGGTGAAATATACGTATATATTAATCTTGTAGTTTAGACACGGGTGTGTATATATTACCTATCGCTGAGAAATTAATAGACGAATACCTTTGTTGTAAATCTGAGTATCTGAAGCTTCTTTGATATAACGAAAAAATTACGAAGGAGATGAGATTTAGTAAGGAGGGATAAGTCTTTGAGCAAGAGAAACGTGCCGTTAATTAATTTAGACACGTGAAAAATATTCGCCAGAGTTATTTTCAACAAAATTGCCGAATACTTTGCCCGGAATATTTGCCCGAGTATCCAGGTAGTACAGTTTTTATTATTTATATTCTTTAATTAAATGGAACGAAAGCCGTGTCTTAATGAAGCTCGTCGCCGGTCGCGGCCATTAATCAGCAGATCGTAATTAGTCTGTAATCGCTCAAGCAGCGCGTACATATTGGTATAAATTGCATCTGCTTTCGGTAGGCAATAAAATTGCCGGGGTCGTATTCGTTGCATCCATTTCGCCCGCAACTGATAGCAATTAATTAGGGAACGACGTTTTAGGGGTCGTTTGCGCCGATTGTTTCGCGACAAACAAAGATACACGAGCAGATCCATTATTGAATCTTTCGTTTCTACCATTGAAAAGCTGGTAAAACGTGACGAGCAGAGCATCATTTCTCCGCGTCGATTTGATTGCAAGCACACGCGAGTTAATTAAGATGGCTGCGCCATCGTGATATCTCTCCCCTTGCTAATTTATCGAATCGTTCTCCTCCGCTCTCTCTCTCTCTCTGATTGATCCTATTAATTCGTACTAATGTACGAGCAGCGTGAAAGTTTAATTGAAGGTAACGAGTTCGTTAGCTCGTCTTGCTGGAAACGGTAGGGAAAAGGAAGCAAGAAAATAGCGGATCGAAGGAAAGAAGGACAGCTGCGGGCTCTTAAATCCCTCGAAGATTAAGATTTATCAAACGGTACTTTGGAAGGGAACGTACACCTACGAAATCGTAGTAACTTGCTTCTTCGAAAGTTTACACTTTGTTTTCCAGGGAGCAAGGACGTGGAGTAAATTTTAAATTGGACCTCTCGAAAACTCGAAGATTAAACTCCCTTCGTCATTTCGCATTCACTTTGTTCCGCAGTTATATATTCCTCTCTGCGATTCGTAAAGTTTCCGTCGAGATAGACGAAACAGTTTATTCGAAGGAGACTCGAGAACGAGGAAGTTAATCAATTTTCCGCGTAACCGTCGTGAGAAATGTTGATGAAACGAATGAAAAGGGTATCAGGAGTATCGTAGCGTGATAAAGTGTGAAGCACTTGGTGTTTTTTTACGGGGTTGCAGGGATGAATAAAGAAGTAAGATCGTGGAGGGTAACGTTGTAACGTGATTAAGTAGGAAGGCTTCGCAGTTCCCTTTATAAGGTACCAAGAGCCAGCCAGTTATTAAAAAGATTCCTACGAATTTGTACCGAAAGATACGAGGATGCTCTGAAACTGTTCGAGTATACTTAAGAAATATCCAGGAAAACCGAGGTAAAATTTGCCTTTCAACGAGAACCAAGAAGTTTTCAGAGGTTTAATTGAAAATCAAGGAAGCTGGTAATTAGAAAGACGAACGTTACAGACGGTATTCCGATAAAATCGAGGAGGAATTCCGTCGATGACGTTAATCAGCCCGTAAAGCGTGGCGCGTACGAGAAAGAATTGGCATGCAGCAATGGCGAGTGCGTGGCAAGGGAAGAAAAGAAGGTCGACAAAACGAGGGAAGAAGCAATTTTCCAGGGTGATGGCCTAGAAAATTGCTGCAATGTGTCCAGGTTGACGGTGGCCAGTGCCGATGATTTTTTTTATTTCTTCTTCGCCCCCTGAAAAGGTTGTTCTTCAAACTTCACCCCCTCCCCTACGATACTTTTGCCGACATAAAAATTCAATTTACCTTTCGTTTCGACGATGGATCCATTTCTTCCCAAGAGATTTCTAACATTTGCCAGAATCTCGACTGGAGGTTGGATAGATGTAGAACTCGTTCGATTCGTTGGTAATATCAGCCATAATTCGAGAGTCGGAGACACATCTCTGGTAAAGTCGGCTTCTTTGCACGCCGCAATAATGTCTGGTGATTTCACTGGAATCGTAAAGCATTTTACGGCTTGGATGGTTACGCGTTACAGAATAAGACGACTCTTTCTCAAGCACCACTCCTTCTCAAGGAAGGGCTGAACTTCTTTCTATCTGGGAAAAATGGATCCACCGAGCGGTGCAATAATAAGGGGAAAAAGCGGCGTACAAGTGTAGCTATGTATAATACATCGCAGTTTATCTTCAGGAGCTTATAAATTCATTAGAGGTGAGCTGCTAGCTGCAGGGATGTTTTTAGATGCACGTTGATCTCCTTTAAAGCGGCGTTTGCATCGATCCGTCGCGTCGTACATTCTGACCAAGGTACAATATTAAACGTACACCTAGCTTCGCTCACCGATCAATCAGATTTCTTTCAATCAACGCGAGCCGAACTTTCGGAAAAATCCGTCGATTCGGAAAATGGAACGCGACAGAACCGCCTCTTGTCAATGACGAATGCAATTCCTATGCAAATGCAGACGTAAATGGATCGAGCGGTACGTGAAAGGCCTGGTCGTACTACTTATCGAGAGGAAAGTAGTTCAAAGGAGATACGGTGAAACGAGCGCGATCGCGTGGGAGAAATGTTTGATGAAAAATAGACGGACGAGGAATTGATTTTATCGAATCTTTCACGCGACATTTCTTGCATTGATCTTCGTGTATCGACCACACTCAGGCTGGAAACTGTAAAAGAAGTACCAGATACGTCGACAGCACCCCGACCATCTGAAAAAAATCACGATCACCGTATATTTCATCGACGAGTTTAAACTAACGAGTTGTTAATTGTTTGTCGCATGTTCCGATCGGCAAGATTGCAACCAGTCGGATTAGAAAAGAGAGATTTCATTTTGCTATTCAAACGCGGATTATTGCGTTTTAAAACGTCAGTGAAGCACCCTCCGCGAAATAGAATAAATTCTGACGCGGGACTACCGTATTACGAGTTCGTTTTGACGATGAAACAGAGCCGGGGAATTGAAAAATGGATTACAGTGTCTGTCTCCTCTCGGGGACTTTTTCACGGAGCAATTTACCGCTGCTTCGGTAACATTTATAAACCGTAGTTATTTAGCGGAATCCAATTAATCTTTCGCTTTCATAGTATCGGCAAATTGCAATCATCGAGATAAACACGGATTTCCGACGGGTTGCTTGATCCGTGTAAAGAAGAAAAGAGTACAAAGAATTGTTTTTTTCTTTGCGATAGAAAGATAGAAAATACGTTTACCGAACAGAGAAGGGGTAAGTGGACGTTAAAGAGTCCGCCGGCGGAGAAACTGAGTCGCCTGTTGAGAAAGGGCAGCGATGTACGAACTGTATCCTACAAGGAACGCGAATGTCAGTTGATCGATCGACAATTGTTGTAGAATTTCAACGAAATGCTCACGTCGTAAGGAAATCTTTGAATCACTCTCGCGTCCCACTCGACGAAGATAGCACCCATGGAATTCGCCTGCAATTAAAAGTTCTTTTCAACGTTATATCGTATTATCGTTAGGAAAAAAGACGAGGAACGTAACGGAAAGCGTTCGTTCTACCCTACCTCTGTTATCGTGTAGTCGCAGGCAATGTAAATGACCAAAAGTTGCGATATAAATCCAACCTCCCAAGACCACATGTTGAATACGCGAAGCCAGGCTATGTTGGTCCAGGGCATCAAGATGAGCCAATCGATGATGAAGTACAGATTGCTGACACTGTGCACGCTCAAATTTCCAAGCCAGAACAACAAGGACCAGGAGTAGAGAGAGGCCAGTTCCTCGCTGGACAGCATCAGTTTGTCGTGCAGATCTTGAATGGTCTACTTTTTAATTTTACGTCGTCTCTACTGATTATTCCGTAGAAAAGAAATTGGTTTCGTTTCAATTAACTTGCACGTTTCACCTTTTTGCTGACGCTGCTGCTTTTGTATCCAACCCTCGGCGGTAAATTTTCTCTGGCGATTTGATTGAGCTGGTGGAACCGTTGACCGAGAAAGCTCGTCATCCCGAAAAATTTGTACACCGGTATAGCGGTACCGAGGTAAACGCATATGTAGCTTACGTTAAAAAACCAAGCTTCCATCAGAGCGTACATTCCACTCTGATTAACTACCGTCCAGACTATGATCTGGCTGATCAAAAGAGTCCACATCGCGATCTTGGTTTTCGTCTCTTTACGTGGATAGCCCAGTTGGCTCATCCTCTCGTCAGAATCTTGCAATGCGTTCCAAATGCGACTGAACACCCTCCTCGTAAATACCGTCGATACCAGCTCGTACATGGCCACCAAGAAATTCACGATTACCTGCGGTGATAATAACTTACGGTTGCCTAAAACTGTACGATTTTATTCAAATATCAGAATCTTACCTTTGTAGTTTCGACCACGTTCAGCATCTGTTTCTGCCTTTTTAAACTGGTGAATTTCAGATACACTATGTACACAATGTAACAATAAATGCACATAAACGCGAAGGAGAATACGAGGCATAAGTTGGACGGAGTCATCTCGTCGCCTGTGAAATCGTACGGCGCCAAACCGAACACCTTCATTATGCAAACTGAAGGGTAAATCGCCGAGTACAATGGTGAATCTGGACCGTGGTACTTTTTCGCTCGATTTTTTCTTTCCAATTTCACTTCGGCCAACGTGGTTTCCACGTCGAACGGTTTCACTCGTATCTTCGATAGCGGAAGAGGATAATTTTTCGGGAAACGCGGGAATTCATTTTGAAACAGTCCCATTTTTCTGGACTTCTTTTTTCAGTTAATAAATCTTTCGAATAACGTCGAGCTGCGAAACGAAATCAAAAAGATTCACGTAGATTTACCATAAGAAGTGAAATAATGAGTAATATTTCAGTGAAATATGGGGATAATTATTGCTCTAAATATTTTTACGATGAATTATAGCTACTACGTTTTACCCGGTTATTTGTCATCGTTTGCCGTGCGTGAAGCAACCACTATCGATTTGAAATATTAGTTTTGGTCGGAAAAGAAAGAAATTTTTAGTACGTTCGATAACAAAGACCCCTGATGAATCCGTATCGCGCATGCAAATTCGTTTTACCCGTTGATTTATCGCCCTGCCCGCTGATCATTTATTCGCTAACCCCGTTCCACGCATGAGATGCTTTTTCCCCCACATTTTCCATCCTACTTTACGTATCGTAATTATACAATAACAACAATTCCCTCTAAATAGATGAAACAATTAAGAAAACAATTCTATCTACGTTCCAGCTTTCTCCGAATTTTCGAACGTCCACCGTTGCGGTTCGTGTTCCCTCTTCGTAAAAATAACAACGAGTATAAGTGTAATAAAAATGCTGGCAGCGATTCGAACGATTGTAATAAAAAAAAAGAAAGAAAGTAATAGAAAAGCTTTACCGAGTTACCTGGGGTAACATAGAAGAAGAATAGTTCCTCGAGGAAGCGGTGCGACGAGTGGTCGAGTGTCTCCGAGCAACCGCGTGAATAACAGCGAGGATTCGCCGGTTCGTCACTTTCCATCAGCGGCGATAAAGCGGAATTAAAGCCGTCGTCAGGGCAACTGGACACGTACTACGTGGACGTACATTTGTAACCAACTGTGACATTCTTCCGACTATCATTAGATTATGAATAATTGAACAGTCGAAGCAGAATAAAACAAGACGTACCTTTTTATCCAATCGATCGTCCTATTTGTCTCCTCTTCTTTCGTCAATTTCGCCAAATTCTTCAACGTTGCTCTTTAGTTTTTATTCACGCGAATCGTTCACCGTCATCTCTCTAATCGCATTAAATCCTAGCTGCAGGTTAAACGGCACGTGTCGATCTGGTATATACGTATATGTATGGGAGCAATTGTAAACAGGGTTAGCTGCACACTTGTACGTCGTTCATTATTTGCCGAATCAATAGAAATAATCGTTCGATACCGGAATATTTGTCAACGGGTAACGATTCTATTTACGTTTTCGCTATCGTTCGTTCTAACGTCCTAATGGCCGAATAGAACACCTGTACTATCATTTTTCTACAATCGTTGCATATTTAACTTTACGTGGAGATAACTTGAAGAATTACGTTCGATATAGCTTTGGTTGTGACGAACCTGACCCATCGGAATGTGTAACCGTTCGTCCCCTTTTCAAACCAGCTCTTCCAATACTACAACTCGTCAGAGACTAATGAAAAAGCGACTAATTAAATGTAACCAATGTCGTAACATTCGGTCGATGAATTTGATCGCAGAACAAATTGCATCTCATCTGGATCGTAACGATGGAAATTTTTTCGTTTTTTTTTCTCTCGCTCTCTCTTTTTAAGAACACGATCGATAGAAAGGCGGGGTAGAAAAGCTAGCGACTTAAGAAAGTGAAGAACGGAAAGAAGAGAGGGAGAGTGGAAGGATAGGGTAATATAAAGCAGCGCATTAGATGAAAATTTACGGTGGAAAGTGTCTCGTCAGAACGACGCCCCGGAGAAATGCAATTTAACTCCGCGTGCAGGATGAATGATATTCGTGGAGCGGTCAACGCACGGTACTCCGCTGCGCATATCCATGAAAATAAAACCTGCTTTTACCCCACTTCCCTGGAAAATTGCTCTCGAGGATGAGCTAGATTTTTTGCATAAATCTTCATTGTATAGTGGCTCGCTTTGATACCGAAGCTTGTTGCATAGGAAGCAATTTTACCGGTAACATACCAGTTCTCTGAAGATGGTACACGATCGTCGTGTAATCGAGAAACGACAATCGAAAATCGTCAAGTACAACCTTTCACGAAATACACGTAACATACAATAACGTCATTCCTCGTGAAAATTCAAATATACTCATCATCGACAAGGCCTTTAAGCGAGACCAGAAACAGATTCGACAGTGATGGAAACGATAAAGGAAGATTTATTTAGATGGGTCTGTGTAAAGCACGCGACGAACAGTTTCCTCGACAGAGATTCGTTGCGAGAAAAAGCTCTGGAATTGACGAGGACACGTGGCTTGAATGGTACTTAATTCCACCGGAAACATTTCTTATGGATAGAAATTTTGCAACTAGCAAATTATACTTTTGCAAATGCAGCCAGATTGGTGGAAAAGATGAGAAAAGAACTCCGGAGGAAAGTTTCCTCGCTCAATTTTGCCTCTGCTTCTATTACCCAGGTTTCAAGTGCTCGGATAGATGGTTGACTTGTTTTCTCAAGAATTCTGGTTTTTCTGCCGATCTGACGAATCACTCTGGTCCAGAGATCCAGGATCATCGCGGCTGGGTTGATCTGATCAGGCCGATGATAACCGAGTATAAACACGAGGATTTGTTTCACACCGATGAACTGACCATGTACTCGGACATTCGTCCTTCGAAGATGGAAACATGTTCAGAGGGTAGCGAAGGGTCGAGAAATCGAATAACGATTTTGATGGGCTGCAATTCTTCGGGAACGATAAAGCTGCCTCTCTTGATATGCGGTCCGTATTCGTCCAAGATAAAGGAGAAGGAACACGTTTACTGTCGCAGCGAGGACTCTTACATCGGAGACGAGTTGTTCAAGGATTGGTTGTCGAACGTAAACGATCGTATGAGAAAATGCAATCGAAGGGTCCTGTTGTTTCTATGCCGGACAAGAGCATACGCACTGAAAGATTTTCCGGCGGCCAGCAACCTACAGCTCGTTTACCTTCCCGAGGATTTTCCACCGCTTTTACGACCGTTGCGGGGAGACGTTTTTCATTACGTCAAGATGGTCTTCAGACGGAGGTGAGTCTCGAGGGAAAGTTTTTTTCACAATCTAGACACCGCCGTCCTCTCTGTGCGTCTACGAGAGCCTCCGTGAAAATATTTGACTTTTCTTCCATTGGTCGACGCGCAACGTTGAAATATTTGTTAAAGGTACGTGGAACGCGTGAAGGACTATACCACGAAATGGGAACTTCCCGACATCCTGGCGTCTTTGATCGAAGCGTGGCAAACGTTACCGCGAGAACTGATAATTTTCAACTTTCAGAGGACACGCTTTAGAACGGACGACAGCCTTCTGCAAATTAATTACGATTCCTGGGACAGCTTGAAAATGGGCATGTCGTTCAAGAGGTTCGTCACCTTCGACGATGATCTTTCGAACGATAAGGTAACGCACGAAACGGACAATCCATGGTATCACGATTACAATCTCAGAACGAACTGTAAGGATAATGTCGTACTGATTTGCGAGGATCGCGTGTTGGAGAATAGGGGAAAAATCGAAGAAGCAAAAGCTCGAGATTATCGGAAGACGATACCACCTCTAGAACTAGGAAATCGTACAGATCGAAAATTAGACTACAAGATAGTAAAGAGTCGGAAGAAAATGGTGAACGATAAGCATCGAAACGCAAAACCAAGTTCGTTAAAGGGAAACTTGATCGAGCGAAATACGGAGCAGAGGAAGTCCCTGAAGAGAACTTACAGCGAGACTCAATTTTTTACGAAGGGACGGAGGGGCGATCGACGTGTGTTCGGGGATAAAAATATTAAAAATAGCTTTTTGCCGAAGGATCGTAATGTTGGTCCGTCGAGATCGATCAGGGGGAAGGTATTCGAAGAGGAGATGCCTCAAAGACATCAGCCAGAAGTGAATATCATCCGAGTATCCCTCCAAGCGATCATAGACAAAGCTTTGACTTTGACGTCCTCTGCGAATGCTGAATATACCAAGAAGTTAATTAACAATATCTATGCGTCTAATCAGGAAACCGCCAATCGTCGTTTCACGCAGTCGAAACATTTGAATAAACAAGACAGTTTAGAGTCAAGGTGCATGAACTTGGCGAACAAAAAGATGACTAAGGTTGCCACGAATTTACCCGGCAACTTGTTCGACGAATTTAATCAACCGTCTAGCTCTACGAGCAATTTGAACATTTTATGGGAAGGAATCGAACAAAGTGCTTCCATGGAAACAACTGAAAGCCAAGCAGTACCTTTTGGCACACTTGAATCAAATACAGAAAATCATAGCAAAAGTGAGAATTCGAATCCAACGAGAAACAACGGCGACGACACTGTTCTTCAGGAAGATTTAAGTTTCTCTGTGGAAACGAAGCGAAAATTTCCAGATGTAAACGATTCCGAGGATGCTTCTGATAGTAATGGACCAGGGGAAGATAAATCGAAAACAGATCATAACTGGTCGAAGCAATTTGAAACGTCTTTCATTTTTGGTTCGCCTGCTACGAACAACTGTTCTTTGAACCACCAGCCTCACGAAAACATGGTTGATCCGTGTATTTTAAATGTTAGATCATCTATTTCTCCTAGGGAATAAAATTAACATCGGATGTTTTCTAACAAAAATTTACAGGAGGTGAATATTAAAATTTGATTTTATGCAATAGTAACGTCGATTTTATTTTATAAAGGACGCCCAACCGTTCAGAGGGGTTACATGTAAAAACGCTTAATGCGTTTCTGAAAAAGTGACGCACACTTGTCAGTTACAAATCATATTCACTCTGTCAAAGAACTGACAATTTATCATTTTTGTTAATCGATTTGTCGTTTAATGTCCTGTCAACCTTTGCAACTTTTTTTCAAAACAATAATGTGAGAAGGTATTGATCACCAACTTATGCAGGACAATTTATTATGTATTAAACATGTAAACGAAAATAAACAAAACGATCGATCTATTATAATTTTTAATATTATGCAAGTGATCAACAATTGTATATAACGTATAAAGTTGCGGCAATACTCCTTTTGTACAATTTCATACTTAAATCTATGCAGATCTATTATATACATATATATATATATATTCTGATTCGACAAATAGATCGTATTCCATTTCTCGTAAAATATAAAAATACATAGTTTTCTCGATAATACATATTTCTTACAGTCTACTAAAAAAATTAGAATAAAAAGTATAAGACAATGATACTTTGTATGTACTACATATGTTTGATAAATGTTTGTTACGCTGAATAATTATGCTTTTCCTATACTTATGTTAGTATTTACAATATTGTTATTATCAATTAGAAGATTCGTATAATTTTTGTATAGGTTTATGTCTAACACATTTTATAACAGCTAATACTTTCTCTAATACTTGAGAGTGTATTAATGATTTATCTTCATTGCTATCAATAACAGTCCATGTTTGGTCTATCAATTTCCTATAATTACAAGCAACTTGATGTTGAAGTTTACTATTTTCAAAACGCTCCTTTCCCCAGTTACTACGCAAACGTTGAGATTCTTCCGAAACTTCGAATAAAATAACTAGATCTGGACAAGGTAGTCCTTTATCAGATTCCTTGCACCAACTTAAACTTCTACCACTAGTAGCTGCTGTATAAGCAGCACCTGAGCCAGCATATCTGTAATGATAATTACAATTTGAACTATATTTCAACATATTTTTGCAAATACAATTAGCAGAATTATTTTCTGCTCACCTGTCAACAATGAGGGTAGTACCACTATATAAAGTGTCCAACATTTCATCTTTGCATTCCCATCGGTTTGCAGAAAATAGTAAATGTGCTACTTCAGGAAGGAGTTCTTGCTTCGTGGACAAAAAGTTATTTAACATTAATCCAATGGCAGTTGTTCTATCTGCAAGCAAATCACACTAAATGTTGATTGTACTTTTAATACGTTTTTAATATCATATGATCACTTAATAAGGTTATGTATAATATATATAATCGACTAGTTATAAAAAAATATATTTAAGACTTAAGTAACTAATCCGTTAATTAATTTATTATTCCATCTGTAAAAAGTAAGTTTAAAAAATTGTTCGTTACTAGGAAAAGCACGTGGTTCCACAGGAATGTTTCGTTTATTTAAAGCTTCGGCTAACATTTTCAATTGAGTAGACTTTCCTGCTCTATCACAACCTTCGAAAACTATTAAAGCACCACGTCCTACAGACATTTTGTTCTCTTTTATAAAATTATAGTCTACTGAATCCTCGAAGTGTAGCACCGATTGACGTGGCACTCAAGCCCGCGTATGGTAGACAGCAGTATTGACATAATCAGTACCCTAATAATGTCCCGTTTACCGCCACTTCTTGCTTACGAGCCCGCCATATTTGTTTCAGTCGATATCGACGTCGACTATTATCGAGATAAATTTCAATCGAATTTAAAACCGGCGCTTTAAGTGATAGTAAACATGCTGGCTATTAAAATGACAAGAAAGAGATTTATAAAGCATCAAAATTTGTAAGTAGTATCATTCTTTATTATAATAGCGGTAATAATAGGGATAGTAGTAATATTAATATACAGTATACATTTTTCATTATCCGTATTTCCCATAAACATACATCGAACATTTTGAATTGTACAGTGCAATAAAGATATATATCGTAATATGTTACATTAAGCCGAAATCGCATCATTCGTAAACAATCCTATACATACATAACGTACAACTCAATTAATACTTCTGTTCAACATTAACGTTTATCTTAGAACCCTCTTTCGACGTTTATTTCACTGTAAATATATCGCTTCGGGAGCCTTCAAGCTGATCGATTCAATTGTAAGTTATATCGAAATAAAGAACTGTTGAAGCTTTATCGATTATCGATTAACAATTCACTGTTTTGGCGCGAACGAAAAATAGCCAAAGATCGAAGTCTCGATTTCGTGAAATTCGATCATAGTGAAAAAGTGAGGTACATACCTGTGCAACAAAATTGTGATATTTAATAGTTAAAATCAAACAATACGAGGTCGAATGATTCGAGATAGAAGTTCATTGTTCAAAGATCATTAGCAACGTAATGCCATTTTTCACAAGAAGAATTATTCTGATTCTGATGTGGCCTCTCGGACAAGAACATAAATGATTTCTCTAACCTTGGTTTCTCATTAACGGCACGCACGTGGAAAGGATACTTCGGCAAGTAGCTCTCTATTAAACGCATCAACATGCGAATTTCTTATATTTTCCGAAGAGACTTATGCTTATATATATGTACAAATCATAAATTTCATTATCTATATATATATGTATGTAACATACACGAAGACGTGTTCCACATTATTATATGCTACAATTTATGCGTAATTTATATGTCTTGAAAGCACATTACCGTGTTACGAATATAAAACCGAATAATCCAGTATATTTTACAAGAATCGACAAAACCAGATTCACTCCTGTTGTGACTAATGGCGGGAAAAGAATGGTAGTTTCGTCGAAAACGAAATGGAACTATTACTTTTTTTTCTCGTCGCATCTTTCGTTTCCCTTCGAAGCATTCTTAAGACTCGTCGCTTTATGGAAATTACGGACATTAACGGAATAAAAAGTCTTTTCTTTTTTATATCTTTTCTCACCGACGGATGCGCGTTAGCTTTGTTTATTCGATCATGTTTGCAACGTGTCGTCACGCTCTCGATCGTTATCCTATCGCAAAACATTGGACGTAAAAATCCGAAACCGATCTACAATGCTTACCCTACGTTTTGTTTTCTACATCGTCCTGAATATTATCGTTCGTTCGTTAACTTACCAAAGATTAACGGAACGAAACGAACCTCCCTCGGCAATGTTCGGGAAAAATATAACATGGAATACATATCGCCGAAAGCGATGACACAGAGGAACACGCGTTTTCGGAATAATCATATTACACTTATTAGAAAGAAAAAACCAGAGATAACGTCTTCAAATTGGAAGATGCGTATATGCTCTGTTGTTAAATATTTATAATTCTCGTCCAGTTGAGCAAATTAAACACTTTATGGCATACGGATCCGCGAATTGCGAACTGAAATGCTCTGAAAGCACCAACTTTCTTATATGTATATACTGGGAACAGACACGAACTATGTACCTTCCTCGATGAAGAAAAGCGTATGGTTCGTTGTGATTTATAGGTCAGCATGTGCTACAAGTATAAGGAAGTTGTAGGCAAAGCTCGAAAGTTGAAACGCGTAAAGAATGTAATGTGTGGTAAATTTGAGAACATTGTTGACAAAGAGAGAGGATATATCGGTGAAACTTAAAGCACCCAAATAATTGACACAGACTAATCTATAAATTTTTTAGAGGAAATGCGTAGGGCGGTCATCAATTGTGATCAACACGATGGACGATTGAAAATTTCAACTTTATTCGAACGGTTTCGAACATTCGCATAAAGTGACAGTGTGAATAGGTCCTTTCACTTGCGGTTCCTATTTCCAAGTTTTCTCAGAAAGGCGACGTTAAGAAAACCGCGGCAATTCGATTCCTATCGTGATCGAAAGGAATAAGGTAAAAATACGACCGTAAAGCATCTTGCCAATTCTCTCGAATCGAAATAGATAGATGGCAGTTATGCTTCTTACTGATATAACGTTGGTATATAACGACATAATAGCCTGACGATTAATAACAGTACCTGCATGACACATTGCCTAACAATAGGATCCATAAAATTTTCATATCTCTAACATTTCTTACTTTACCGATATTTTCCTTCATTTTCCTATTTAAGTTCTTAATAGTCAGCGTAATAAAATCAGATTCGATGGTTATACAACACCGTGGCTCCTAGACCGTTTGTAACAAATTCTCGCGTAACACAGACAATACGATTAACGTTATTCTCGTTAGGATCGACGTTACATTCACGGAACACGTTTTCGAAAAAGATCTCTCATTCGCGCGCACAAGTTAAACGTGAATCCTGTTACGAGCACAAAATTAACATTCTCCTTCCTTCGTTCACGATTCTCATTCTCAACATAACACACATTCCTCGGTTCCTTCTTCGTTAGTGGAATTTTCCAATTTTACCCGCATTAGATTCGCACAATATACATATAAGGATAAAAGCATGCGACTTGTTCGCCGTAACAAAACACCCGGCAATGTCTGTTTCTCCCTTTAGAAATTTATACATCGTTGAGAGACGTTCCAGGCGAACAGGTTCCATTCCTAACAACTACAGTGGTAATAAAAAATATCTACTATTCACCCAATCGTATTCCTAACGAGCTCGAGTTAGAAAACATTCCGTGAGAAAGAAAAAAAAAACTCAGTTTACAAAAACCAAGTACCCTGTGCAATAATTAATCAATGAAATTCGACGAAACAACGAGTAGATTCTGCCCGTATTTTTCAAAGTAGAAGCTACTAAAACATAAATAGAATTAACCGCTTCTCTAAATCTTGTCCCCTTTCTAAACTGCTCTATTCTCCAGGTATTTGCGGTACGTATTTAGAAGCAATTGTTCGTTTAAAATATAATATACCTATGCATATATCGTTTCCAATATCGAAAGAAACTAAACTGATAGTTGTGAAAATTGAAAGTGGAAACGTTGAGTACATGTATTCGGCTAAAACTCATTATGGCGCTTCTATTATCATTCACTTACTTAATTTGAGGTATCTTTGCCCGTGTAATTAATGAATAACGTGATCCCGTGATAGAACGAAAAATCTTCCGGTGATTGATCATGCGGATACGTGTGCCGTAGAAGATCTTGCGAATTTTATCGTGGAGGATATCGGCTCTGTTGCACATTCTTCATTGAACGATCCTTCATGTCGTTCGGGTTGTACATCATTGGTCCCTAAAGATCATCGTTTTCTTGAAAAATAAATTAGTAACAATGTCAGAGTTAAAATACAAAAGTATCGTCAAGTTAACAACATTTAACTACGCTATCATTCTTACGCGATTTTGCTAAAATGAAAATTACATCAAATTAATATATTATTACACGTTTCAAAGACGATGATCATCTGCTTTCAAAACTGTTCTTTTTTATTTCTTTTCTTACGTTTCCAGTTTAAACATGATTCAATGAGATACTAACGCATAATATAATGTAAGCTTTGCAATTAACGTGTAACACATAGATGGCGAGGCCAAAACCATAAATACATCCTTCACCAAGCTTTCCCATAGTTTTGCCATTTAAAATTCATGAAAATAAAGTGCCTGACATAAATGAATTTAAGCTTGACTTCGAAGGCGAAAGCTATGTGACTGTGAATTATAAAAATAAATCTCATCTTAAATCTACCGCAGGTACAGAATATATTTTAAGTGACACTTTATTCGTGTGAAAAGATGCCTGAGTTAAAATTGATATGAAAATATCATCGATATTGAAAATACATTTGTTTCAGCTTAGATATCGTTTCGGCTGCAAGAATGGTGTCTCCTAAAATATACTTTGTAATTGTAAACTTGTTACGAAATATAGTAATGTAATAAGTAAGTTAGAATTTCTACCATGTATCGCTGAGTAGTATATCTAAGTGATATATCATCTTTTGCATGAAAAATGACTAGTGCCACTGGATTACCTTGTTCTGTGGGAGGAAACGCGGATCCCTCATAGTGTAGCTCTGCACCTCTCGCGATAACGAGCTGGTCGAGCTCCATCGAGAGAACTGTGTGCCATATACAACACAACAATCTTGTCTCACTAACCGATACTTATTCTATTGCTATGATTAGGCATCAATGTTACGAGGATGCAACACCGACCTTTCTCTTTTTATCATAGAACATCGTAAAACAGCGATGAAAACTTTGTCTCTTTGATAAAATCATCTGTTAAAATCAAAGATGCAAAATGCAAATAGTCGGTGTTGCAAATCTCTAGCATTGTCATGAATAAAAATGCGATATTTTCTATGATAGGTATACAATTCAATTGAAAGAAAAAATTAATCATGCTGAAAATTATAATGTACCAGTGCATTATTTCAGTGTTCTGTAATAACCATATGTTAGGCTCTGAACCTAGATTACCTTTCCCTTCCTTGTATACACTACTACCAAAAAATTACGTACGTGCAAAAAGAAAAAAACCTAAAGCAGCATTAAGCTGTGGAATGGTATTGAAAAGAATTAGAGAAATTGAAGAAGATAGGCAAACATGTTTCAAGTAGTAGCTGCTCTTTTAACTCGATCATTTTCTTTTTTTTTTCTTTTTCATTGTCATTGTAAATTCGTCGTTCGTATTTAAATATGCCAACGTTGCAAGCAATTGAAACTTGTTGCATCAATCACACATACACACAGCAAGACAACCAATACTTACATTGCCACCCATGCTACTACATGAATATTACGAACCATGCGTATACAATGATAAAGAACGACGTATAAAATGAATAAAATAGTCCTTACTATCAGCAATAATTATTATTTGGCTACATCATTCTGCCTCCCCGACTGCTTGCAAAGGAAACATAAAAAGAAAGGTGGATTAAACACAGGTTTGCAAGAAAGAGAGTATCTATTGTGAACTTGGAAAATCTAGTTGGTATGACGAACGCTAAACTATAATACAGAAAGCGGATGGTTCTTAATCAAATAAGGATGAAATGATAAACATAAACATTTTTTTTCTATTTTTCAATGGCGCACCGTTGTGAAAGAAACAGAGACCTGTTCATGAATTTGTACCTTCTTCCGTTGCACAATTCATGTAACCAAAAGAGCAAATTTTTATAGGATAAAACTATGTATACATAAAATAAGAGTTAATTCAAAAAGGATGATAGATACTTTTGGATAAACAGACAATGCACAAAACTAGGGGAAATTCTCATTATGGAATGTAATTGTAAAGGAGTTTCGCGAAAAAAAATACTACGACACTTTAACATTACAGTTCCAGAGACATGGTTAAAATACATCGAAGCTGCATACCAGCATACTGCAGCCATAACATAAAGATAATAAGAGGGTTGTGTAGAATGAGTTTAAGATTGTAAATATACATATATGAAACTGTATTGTTAATGTTGTAACATGTTCGTGGTGACAAGACACGACTGAATGTGCATGGTAGTTTCCCAATATTATCATCTGTTATAAAGGACTTACCCCTTGGGATGTATTATCAGAAACATTCGTAGAGGGTGCGACTGGCGTTGTTGTGGTAGTTAAAAAGTCCACAGGGGCACTTGGATCGTTAACTATAAAAATTTACAATGTGATTAAGTTAAAGCAGACAATCGAAACGAACGGAAATTTTACTAAATAACAGAATACTATTAAAAATTTACCTGGAGCAGGAATAAATAACTGAGGTGACGAAGTTGCCATAGGTACCATCGGGGAGGTTATTGGGGTTGGTACACTCGAAGGTGGTGCGTTACCTTTCGAACTACCTGGGTTCATTACATCTATGTAATTGGAACGCATACTTCTACCCTTGGGTAATTTGAATTTATTCATAGCGGATTCGTCAGCTTGCGAAGGTGGTTGAGACGAAGGTGGAGCTTGCTCTGACACAAGCGTTTTAAATCCCATCTCAGAAATTTTAGGAGGAGGACCTAGTGTAGCAGAGCTACTATCTCCATCTTCATCTTTGTTCATCCATTTTTTACCGACTGGATCCCAAACGATCTATTCGAAAAATAAGATAGAATATAAACATCAGTCTGTTTGCTTGGTTGTATGGAAACACGGAGTAACACTTCAATTTACATAAAAAAGCTAAACTATAGGGCTCAAAAGAATTGCACTGTATCCAGTTTTATGTGTTAGAAACGATACTTGGAATGTTAAGCCAGAATATATCAATAATTCGTTAGATGTTAATTAAGTGACCGAACATTACGTTATACTGGCCTTTCTCTCTTCCATCATAAAAGGCGTCATAATTACCATAAGTACCCGCGTGAGCCCTTAAGTGACAAAAAAATATAAAACCATCTATCGTAATCTTTTAATAATCTAAAAAAAAATATTATGAAAATTTTACCGTTGGGTTACTGTCATCCGGTAAAATCATTTGATTCCTGGGTTTTGGGGCAAGCTTACTAAAAAGACCACCAAACCAAGAACCTCCACTATTCGAAGGTTTCTTCTCGGCAAATTTTTCTGAAGCTTTTTTCTCCGAAGGCGCAGGTTTCGAGGTTGAATTTGGTGTTTCCAATGCATCCAATTCTTCCAACGGATCGTATTGCTTTCTCGTTGACGGCGTCATAGAAATTGCCGGCTGCGATGCCTGAAATAAAGTATAAAATTCATCATCGCAAAGTTGTTCTAGCAAAGTTGATCACTGTTTACTGCAATAGCGTAATGCATACCCATCTTTATACTTTTGATGTATCTTTCGTGAACAATTCTTCTCCTAGAAGCACTTAACAATCACAGTAAATAGTGAAGAACTTTGCTTGCATATTTATAACTAGTATGAAGTAAAATATTAATGATGATATAACATATTTATACCTTAAATCTATTTGCAATGAATGATAAAGAGGCGTATTTTTTAAAAATTCAAAAAAAAACAAGAACAAGTTTTATAACCACGTCCTGTTACTCTGTATCAAACATCTGCATCGATTACTCATACCTTCTATATAACGCAAAATATTATTCATCGACAAACATTCTTTTATAAGCGGAAGAACTGTCTTACGAAACGTTAACTTAACACGTTTTGCAAAATACAATCACAAATGCGCAGTAATAGTAAAATTTGTAACATCGTCAAACCTAACAAACATACCATCTACTCACAATTCGTGGGAACATCGATATCATAAGTTTTAGAGATGGACTTTTCCATAGGAACATCTTCGAATTCAATTAAACAAAGATTACTCGTAGGTTTAACTGGTAAATCTATCGGGTACGTTCCACCAAAGATAAGTGGCTTATATCGACACAACTCGGTGGAACTCTGCGAAGAATTCGAATAAGACCATGCATCTACCGTATCGCAAATAACATCTTTCCTTCGAATATGTGGAGCTATTCTCGTTACATTTTTCTCCATAAAATTACAATACTGTTTCAAATTTTGACAATCATTTTCTAAGGTTGTAGGTGTACCGCTTCCTAAAATGCTACCAAGCTTAGAAAGAGACTGAAAATTTACCTTGCTAAATTGAATATCTAAGTCAGTAGTTGCAGATAAAGTTAAACTACTTTCGTCTACAACGTCTGAATTTTTATTTTCCTTATCTTCCGTTTTCTTTTTAACTTTACACTTTAAAAATACCGGCGGTTGCGAGGAAGGTGGTTTTACATATCTACCATCTATTTTTTTTATTTTATTCACGTCTTTCGAATGAATTTTATTATTCGCTAGGATTCTCGGATATGCTGCTGTGATCTTTGGATATGTGAACAGTTTTCGCGGTTTTACAGATTTTTGGTCGAAATTAAACGATCTATAAGGATTAGAAGTCGTCGATGAGCCCGTAGATGTATTAATGTTCAAATCGGAAGACTGAAGGGTATCGCATCGATCTGAATCGGTTAATACTTTGCGTCGTCGTAATGAGCTAACATTGGTGTCATCCAATGACCACTCAGGATCGAGATTACTATCCGCAGCAAGCACGTAATTACTTACTTCATGGGTAGGTGTTTTTTCTTCTTTTTCCGCCTGTCCATATGTAAGCATCAAGAAAAAGGTGAAAAAAATGTTATTTCTAGATGTACGTGTGACTCGTTACAGCATTCGAAGATATTACTTTATGAGAAAATCAAACGTACAATATATGTATGTACAGTATACGGATGCAAGCGAGAATTGTTGAAATGTTTAACGAAAACGTGCATGAATATGTTACTTAAAAGCATGTATTCTTGTATTGTAACTTGGACCGATTAATTTACCTCATAATTCCACTTTTCTTGTTGCTGTGAATCATCGACTTCACCCTGCTGGGAAGGATACGTTGCATGAGTTGATTGCTGTTGCCAATTCGTGATGGTACTGTCATTTCTTCCATAATTGCTTTGATAGTAAGAGTCTTGGTTCCAATATTCCTGTTGTTGCGGTTGTTGGTATTGACCAGATTCCTCGTTACTTCTTACATATGGCATACTCTGATCATATGTGTCTGGTATATTTGGCGGCAGTGATAATGGCTGCCATTCTGACTGTATTTCCGTTGTGGATACTTCCATCATTGACGTTGGACCTTCTCTGTATTCAGATGGAACCGTCTTCCATTGTTGTTGTTGTTGTTTAATCTTATGTGTTTCTTGATTTTGCACGTTGTTGTGTGACTCTGTTTTCGCTTGCGAAGTGCAAACTTCACTCTCGGTAATTTCTCCCGTCTGTAATAAAGTAAAATATTTTTTTCTATGCCGCTAAAATAAGGTAACAATTTTAATGTCTATTTTCCATTTAAACTTACATGGTATTTATCAACAATCTCAGCTAGGTTATTAAACCAAGTTAAAGTTGTAGCTTCGTCGATGGAATCTTTATAGATTGGATCGTGATATCTAATCCTGTCTCCTAAGTTATACACCACATTGATAAATGATTTTTTGTACTTCGATGGCTCATTCACAATATTCACTGCAATTTGTTCTATGTACAACAGAGATTTTTCTATTAACCCATGATCCACCATTTTCACCGCCAAATCAAATTTAAAGGTCTGAAGATCCACAAGTGTAAATCCTGGTTCGCTCAGGTTTCTAGCATATTCATATATTTCCGTAAGCATGACAGCTTCCGTTGTGAGGAATGCATTGTACGATTTATGATGGTTTGCACCGATCAACACAAGTTTCGTATTATTCGCTCCATAAGCACCAAAGTCAACTTGTGCGAGTATATAACAAAAATGAGCAGCATGGATGTCTCCTCCCGCGGAAAGTGTATCACCGAGAGTTGTGATCGAACGACGATTGATCTCCGGATTAGCAGACGTATTCGATATAATCATAGCCAAATGAGGTCTCCAATCATCCCACCGTGAATCTGATATACTAGTAACAACAGCTGGCACACGACCAGAATGTAATTGATACAAAGTTTGCAATGGATCGTGATATGGTAAACTGTTAGCAAAACGCGTCATTACTGACGCGTGCGTACGTTTATCCAATTTGCTAGCCAAGAAAAGTGCATGACCCCAAAGTCCTTCGTTCATTGCATATTCTACACGTAAAAATGAAAATAGTGTAAAACATCTACATAATCACGACTTTCTGAATGATTCTTATACTATTCTAATATACTTACCCAATGCTTCTTGAACCAAACCATAAAGTAGCGTGTTTCTAAACTCATCAGTTATTTGTTCGATGGTTTTCCGTGGCTTACTTTCGACTTTTTCGGATGTTACTGTACTATCTTGATTACTTTGAATACCATCTCCAACTCCGACTCCCGATCTTTGAGATATCACCGATTCCCTTCTTCCTGAATCCTGTGACTTTTGCTTGTTCGCATCACAAGGATATGCATCCTTGTTTCTGAGTAACAATGCTGCTATATCAACACCAACAACGTTCTGAAAAAATACATATGATTAGATACAAGTAGTCAGTTGTGTGTACATTTAGAAAATATATCTTACCCCATTTTGCTGAATCAGCATAATCATTAATTCATATAAAAGTATATACGAAGCCCGATCGACCATTTCTTCGTTTGATGCTGCTTTCTTAATTTTATTTTCGCAGTACTCGATAATGGTTTTTTTATGAGTGACGCCTCTGCATAAAAAAATATATATTATAACAAAAATAATCAACAAATTCTCTTGATTAAAAATATGAAGTTAAACGAAATACTAAGTAAGTAATATCTAAGCACGCATATCTAATATATGCATCCTTAAAAATAACATTGTACGAAAACACATGCTTAGATTGTAAATATACTGATTACACTTGCTTAATTAGAGGTCCAGGATATGCTCGTAAATCACGTGCTACAGAGTCATGTGAGAGTAAATTATCCAATTTAAAAATATCTACTTTGGCCCTGTCACCGTCAGATGGATAAGCTGGTTGCACGTGTATCAAAGATCCAATAGAAAAACATCCTAAACATAAAATACTTTGTAAAATATCATTGGTGAATCTTGTTAAATAAATGATATAACTTAAAATCATACCGAATACATGCGAAGTGCAAAATTTAGTTGGTGTCATTCGTGCAGAAGTAGTCGCCGAATCTTCAAGCACAGACGCATCACCTAAAGTTCGTTTATCGCCAGTTCTGAAAAATATGGTTTTCATTTTCATCTATAAATTGAAATTAACGATGTTGAGATGAATGACAGGGAAACCAACATTTCTTTCTTTGTACTACTATTACATAAGATGGACAGAATAATACTATATTACGATATCTTTTACTACCTACGAAAAAAGAAGACAGTCTGTTTCTAATAAAAATCTACAAGTATAGAAAATGATCTTTAGCGTACAATTCTAATACTTTGCTTATGGAATGGAACTATAAACGCCATGAAAATAAGTTTAACTAAATTACTTTTAACAGCAGAAGATTTTGATAATGTCAATATTTGGAACAAGTGTCGAACCGAGAGAATTCTCTCGGTCTCACCTATTTAAATTTTGATAACTTGAATTCTGTCTTCGTTGCGGACTCCTGGCCCATCCAGGATATCCGAAATACGGAACATATAATGCTTTGTTTGGCGAGTGGAAGCATGCACTTGGATTTGTAAAAAATCTAACACATAATCAATATTATAAAATCTATAGAAAAATAGAATCAGAATATTCAGATCCAGTCGCTATTTTAATGGCCCTAACTCTCACCTTTCATCGCAAGAACTACGCCCTGAATGAACGCTTGCTCTGTCTTCTGGGTAATTAGTAATGCCACGAGAAATGAGTTGTTGCTGATGTTGGTTAGCATAATATTTGTGATACCACTCTGAATAAGCAGCAGGATTTGTACGTCGCAAATTTTCAATATACGCGTAGTAGTTATTAGCATAATGAGTACCATAATCGTATCCAGGATATCCTGTAACGGAAAATAAGTTGAAGCAAGTAATTTCTTTATAATACACAATTTTGGTTAATTGCACAAAGAAGGTGTGCATACCATTATAATAATAAGGATCTCTCGCCCGCATGTAGTATTCTCGATCTCTATCGTTATAAGAAGATCTACTGGATGGTCTAGATCTAAAAGGAAGAGGTATATAAAATACATAATAGTAAAATATTTAGTATGTATTGAAAAAATATGCACCCTCTACTATAAGGATCATCGTAATATTCTCTCCTGTATGGATCCCTTATATCGTAATCGTCATATCGTCTCGGTCGCCTGTCGTCTCTTCTTCTGTCACGATCCAAATAATCGCGATCTCTAGAATATCTTGAATCATAGTCTCTGATTTCTCTTTCTCTGCGTCGTATCCCATCGTCAGCCCTATCTTTTCTACGGTCGTCAGGCCTTCTTCTGATGTCCCTTTCATCTAAATCTTCTTTAGGTCTGCCTCTTCTATCGATCTCTTCTCTCGCATGTCTATCTAGATCATCTCGACTGTGATGTTTACGATCATCTTCACGATAAGGCATTTCTCGACGATCAAATTCGTCACGCGTACTATATGTTCGATCATTTTCTCCTCCACCACGACGACGATCGTAATAATAATCATCCTCGTATTCCCGTTCACGATCATAACTGTGAATAAATTAACATGCAATCTTGAATTGTCGAATAATCTTTTAAAGTGTTCGACAATATTTGAAATTTATTATATATATACTAACTAAGCGCCCTTTCGTTCGTATTCGTATCGTCGACGTTCCGAACTACTGTCACGCCGTCTTTCTCTACTGTCGTCTCTACTATTTCCGGAACCTTCGTCATCCTCGTCTTCGTATGAATCTTTACGAGTTGATGTACTAGGAACTCCTTGACACTCGCCGATAGATGCTCCAACGGCTTCCTCGCGTTTGTTTCTTGAGTCGCTGGTTTGATCTTGTGTCGTAGCTGAAATGAAATAGAAAAATGTAACAACAAGTTCAGGAATATAAAACTTCTGTAAATATAAAGCTTCCTCTCACAGCCTATAGAAGGAACTTCTTGAGAACCTGTAACTATTCTTCCATTAGGTCTGTCATCTGAAGGTTGAGCAGCTTCATTTGGAGATGCACCGCCTGGTATTTGTCTGAGATTCTCGTCCGTTTGCTGAGCAGGTTCTTCAGGTTCATTGCCTCTTCCAGGTACTTCCCGTGTTTCGCTTGGTTCTAACATAATCGGAGGTAGAGACTGATATCTTTCTTCCCCAGAAGGGTCATTTCGTGATTGTTGAGGAGGCAGAGACCGTTCTCTACCAGACGGATCGTTTCGACGTTCCATTGTATCGGAATCCGATCGTGAAAGTAAAGGAACATTTCTCTCTTGTCCAGGCGGAACATCACGTCGTTCCGATCTTTCAGATATATTTCTTAATTGAAGACCTTGCTCCTGACCAGAAGGATCGTTTCTTCTCGGATCGGACAGTCTTTGACCAGATTGAACATATTGCTCTTGCCCCGTTGGATCATTTCTACGTGGGTCTATGGAGCTCGATTGTCCCGGTACTTCTCGTAAAAAGGGAATGTCATTAGGCACTTCGTCGTTTTCATCATCTTGAATTGGCGGACTTGGTTCGTGCTCTTGATGAGAATCGGTCAATTCCCCAGTTTCCAAAAATGTATTTCTATCGTTCGACGCGAATTCATAATTATCTGGCACCTGTTCCGACTGAAGAAGCGAATGAGATCGTGCTAACTGCTGTGCAGATGGCACTTCAATATTGTTTACTTCTTGTCTAAAATCACGTGCACTAGCTACATCCTTGGAAGGATTCAAAACCGGTTTGGGATCATTATCTAAAGTTTCCTTATTTATGGAATCTCTAGAGCCATATATATCACGTTCCTGCAACGATGGCGCAACTACCTCTAAATTTACAAATTCTGAAGGTTGCTGAATATTTTCATAGTTTTCTACATTTTGTTCAGTACTCCATTCTTTAGGTGGTCGCGTATGATCTTTCGAGTACCACATATTTTCCGAGGATATTGGCATTGTATTCTGACTGTACCATTGATCGTATCCACTTTGTGCTATATTATCTGGTGGCTTGATATTTGTCATTTGATAAGTGTTAAGCGCCGAATGTTCTTGACTAATAAGATTTTGATTATCATTGGAATAAGGATTTTCTGTACCAAGTGCAGTATAGTCTGAAGGCAATCCAGGTATATTATCAGGTGTAGCACTATTATTGGAAGCTGTATTTTGACTCCATCCATCCTCAGACATAACAGGATATACCTCTTTTGACTCATTTTGACTTTCCAAGTGTTTGTTCAACTTAGTACTAAGACTCAACTGTTCCAATTTTGTAGGTAATTCCTCTGTTGAATTACTCTTTCCACATTCTACTGGATCATGTACTAAAGTGAAATCATTGTTTTCTTGCATAGAAACATTTTCAGAGCTTGCAACAGTTGATATAGTTTCAGGTGTGGCAGACATGTTAAGTCGAGAATCAGATAGATGTGATTTAGCAAGACTTGTTTTTGTATGCATATTAGGGTCTTTAGAGTTCACGGAATTCATAGTTAATGAAGGCATAGATCGTTTCCGTTCGTCATATTCCACAGCAGGTTCTGTTGTTGGTGTTGCACTAGACAGACTATGATGAGACGGTATCGTACGATTCTGTTGCCAATCATTTGTAGCAATTGCACCAGTATTATCGCGCTTAACATTTTCTTCGATTACATTATTATTTTCCTGCTGTTCCTGTAACCATTGAACTGCATGGGTATCGTCCATCTTTTTCCACGATTGTGAGACATCAGCATTTACTGTTTGAGGCCAAGTATTGAATTCATTATTAGCATTAGAATTTTGTGTTACTTGTTGACTTTGATTGGGTAATATGGATTCGCGATTCGGAGTATTCCACGAAGGAGCTGATGTATTAACTTGATTTGGCCAATTATTTGCATCATTTGTATCATTTACGGAATGTTCTCTATTTTCGGTAGAAGGTAAAAGGTGCTGATTTGCTTTAGTTTGTTGAACTGGTGGTGTATACTGGTTACCCATATCATCAAAGTTCTGTACCTCTTTATCCATCTTTGAATCCTGCCAATATCCTGGTACGCTACCTTGATTTGGCCAATTTTGTAAAGCCATTAAATTTGTTTGATCAGGTTTCATCCAATTATAATTGCTACCAACTAGAGTAGGACGTGATGCTTGATCATTTTGATTTTGTATACTTGGTTTTTGTTGTGAATATGGAATACTTTGAGATTGTTGCTCATTTGTCCATTGAGGCTGGTCCAAATTCACAGATCCAGGTTTAGCAGAATTTGCCTGAGGTGGTGGTGGTGGTAATGGTGGTGGTAGGTACTGGTGGTATTGTGTATAGTTTGAATAAGGTGTAAAGGAGTCTGTATGATTTGGAATTGGTGGTCTACTTGTAACTATTCCTGATGAATTTCTGTCTAACATCACATTCTGATTGAGCAAGTCAGACTTATTACCATTAATATTTTGATAATAATGGTCCTGAATGGAATTAGATATCAACTGCCCTTGATTTGTATATGTAGGTACATAGTGATGTTGCTGCTGTTGTTGTTGTTGTTGTTGCTGCTGCTGCTCTTGCTGCAATGGTTGCTGCTGTTCATTATCTGTTTGTTTGTCAAAATCCCAATTCCATGAATTATTCCAAGAATCATTTGATTGTTTTGACTGATTTACAATGGGTGGTGGATGCTGAATAGAATCATTTGATGATACTTCTGATTGTGCTCTAGGCATTGGGTTCCATATATTTTGATTATAAGCTCCAAATCCTAAATTGTGATGTTCTCTAGACCTAGTTGGTCTAGCTCTGTAGGGATTCTGAAAAAAAAACATTTCAACTGTTAATATACAAATTAATTTCTACTGAACTTTATACAATGTTTTCCAGTATTCTACTTACACTCATACTGCCTTTAGGACAGTAGCACTTGTTTCTTATTTGTACAAAATCTGCAAGTCAAAAACTAATTCACATACTGCAATGTGACAAAGTAAAAAGTTAACTAAATTACTATACTCTGTGCAAAGAAATGTAATAAATTATGAATAAAAATTGTATTTATATTATCTTACGAAAATATTCATGGATATTTAACATTTTTGACAAGGATTAAAAATACAATATGAAAAAGTACAAAAACATAGTTAAAGTACAGAGAAAATTACTTTCACATACCATAGAAAACATATAGGTCACTAAATAGATATCTATTTTCCACAGTTTTAATAACCTTTCCCGCGAATATGTCGTGCAACTTATAAATATATAAAAAACTAATATTCCTTGAGATAAGGATAAATGAAGAAATTGGTCGAGATTTATGCGAAGATACAAAACATATTAAAACTCGCGATAATTTTCGTCGAAAAGAAAAATTCTTTACGGTTTCCGCGAGGCAAAACTCAAAATTGCTGTAATTATATAACAAAATCCGATGAGAGAGCAGTTGTTGCGTGTAAATAACAGGACTGGCAGATAAGAGAAAGTCAAAATGCGAAAAATTGGAATCGTCGTGTCGAAAGTCAGGATACCAGCTGTGATATTCAGCATAGCGTTCAGGGACCTCTCGTACGTTCACTCACCTAGCTATCGTGTCTGGCACTGGTGTCCATACGCGAGTACAAGCATTATTTTCTCCTACGGAACATTCGAATCGTTACTTTGGCAAATTCAATCGCTTATCGTTGTAGATCGAATTTTCACGAGGCCAAAAGCGAAAATTAGAAAAACGCAAACATTTTACGGATACTATGGGAAAGATGTGGGTTAAGCACGTCACGAATTTTCTCGTTAACTTTCCACGCGAGCAGAACCATAGACGCGCAGAGCGCGGACGCGTTGGTCTTAAACGTCAAAAAGATCTCCGATGAAATGTCGTTAGATGGCATTACTATGTAGTTTGAAATTTTTAAAAAAATATTAAAATCCTACAGATACTTACACAACAATATTTTTATAAACGTAATATAATAGCCTTCGTAGATTTATAGACAAATTTGACAACATTCAGAACTGGATAAGATATATTCTTGAGTGATATAAAGTAGACAAACATATTATCTTAGACATTTAAATACTTAGGCATTTGTATATCTTAGCATTTATATATCTTAGGCATTTATATATACATTTTTTGCTAGAACTTTTTATTTATGTACAAGATTACATATATTTATTTTTTCGTAGATTAAGACTTAATAATGAAATTAGTTGGAAAGTGAGAAAGCACTTGATGACGAAGGAAAACATAATTGCAATGCGTTCAATGGATGCTTCAAAGTGTTCCACAGTGACTGACGTGGTATGCCAACAGTGGACATTTGATGAAACGATCACACCGTGGCCAATTCCGCGTAACTAGATTTCAAGCAGTGAAGTGTCGTCTGTTCCGCTTAAAAATTTTAATATTTTCTTTCTACGTTTCCGGTGAAAAAATTAATTAATTTGTAAAAAAATGGTGTTGTTAACGATGATTGCAAGGATAGCAGATGGTTTGCCACTAGCGGCTACCATGCAAGAGGATGAACAGGTTAGAAATCTGTTATGATAAAACGTCATTCTATTGTTGGATTTCATAATTTTTTTCAATAATTTGCAATTAATCTTCCCTGAAACGGATGGAATAATATATTAAAATATGCTAATATTGTTCATCAACGTGTACAACTTTTTTAACATTTTCGTTCAATTAAAAATTACTTTGATGATTTTAAACTACAATAATTTCGTACAAATTCAAATAAATATAC